CACTCCACCACAGAGTCACCGCAGTAGACGTTAGATGAGCGCTGTCGCTCCGCGGCACTTGTGTTACATTTTGCGTGCAGAATTTAATTCCGCTATCACCGTAACTTTACTAGCGCATGAACGCCCTAGGTATACTATTAGAGAAGAAAGTCACGAAAGGTGTGTGTTTGCTAAGTGTTGTATTTTTCCAGACAATGTGATTGAAATAGCGTTCATAACTTCAGTTATACCAATAACTTATCATTTTTTTCTTCAGTGGTAGTATAAAACGTATGTAGTTTGTATTTACTAAAAAAAGTATTCTACCTTATACATATATTGCTCAGCATGATTCTTCTGATTTTCTTTTTAGTTTTCGTCAGATTGGCCCATTTGGTTGCCATGCAAGGGGTCAGGTAAGAAATCAGTATAATACAAATTACATGTTCCTCTGATAGGATTGACATTTACATATTAGGATAAATAATAATAATAATAATAATAATAATAATAATAATAATAATAATAATAATAATAATGATAATGATAATGATAATAATAGTGATAATGATAATGATAATAATAATAATAATAATAATAACATTAATAATAGTAGTATTGATAACAGTAATAATAATAATATTTAAAACTTAGAAAAGCCAAATATTATTATATTTCACAGCAGAGTATATACATTTGATTACATATTATTATTATATAATGCTAATATATAGTTTTTTAAAAGAATGGTGTAACATACGATGTTCTGTGTTACTAATGCGGAATCCATTACAGCTCCCTGGTAGCGACTCCATTGACACATAGGCAGCACTGGGTAGCCATGAAACCATACATAGGTGCCATTAATGTCATTAGAGCCAGCATCAACCATATTGTGAGTGACCTACATATCCTTAAGTGTGTTTGTTAGATTTTAAGAGTGTTAGTAAGCAGCAATACTAATTCAGATCTGTGTCGTTTCCTTTTGCGGCAGAGTATTGAAGGACCTGATCCAGTTTCTGTGAGACCAGAGTGGCTCTTAGTGCAATCCAAGAAGCGAGCATATCCACTCAAGCCTCTGCAGGTAGGTTTAAGCAACGATCACTGGTTTCTTGCTGTCTTCTTTATTACTCTTTTCTCCCCCCTCCCCCCACATCATATGATATTATCCTACCTTCCTCCATTTCTCCTTTCCAGCCTCTATCTATCCTTCCCCTTTGTATTCTCTGTCTTTTCTTTCTTTCTTTCTCTTTTTCTCTCTCTCTCTCTCTCTCTCTCTCTCTCTCTCTCTCTCTCTCTCTCTCTGTATAATACTAGAATATCAGTGGGGACTTGCTGAACAAGTCTATATTTCTGAATCACGTAATTTTACTTGGCGAAATACCGCGCCGTCATTTGGCAGCGATGTCCCACAAGAGGCTGGCTCGAATTGATGGGCGGGATTTAAAAAAGTCGTTTACGAGAACAGCGGTTATGCCTCCGAATGATATGCGGATGCTTAAATTATGGATGGTAATCCCAATGACAATGTGGGTATATTTGCATATGTGGAAATTCGTTAGCCGTGATACATGATCATCAAACATGTCAAACTGCTTGTTCTTCACAAAAGGCAGAAAAACGAGCAGTACTCATTTGCATAACCATCTGTCTTTTGTGGTAATCTGTGAAATAGCTTTCATGCCAAACTGCAATCATTTGTGTTGTTGCCTGATACTTTATGACGATGTATGGATATTTTCTCCCTGAAAAAATGTGTGATTTACACGTGTGGTAATGCAGGAATCGGTATGGAAAAGTTCATATCTGCCTCTTCATATTTCATTATAATATTACAGCCACTGGCCTGCAAGGCATGTTCATGTTATTAACATATAGATGGCGTGCTTTCAATCCGATGTCACTGTCTGCTGTTGATTGTTTTGTGCTGTTTAAACTTGATGTCCGGCAACTAACAACTTCTCCTAAAATTTCAGTTGGAAGGCATGTTCTCTGCTTACGGGTCTGTTGATGTTCTGCTACAAGGTAATCGGGAAGCTCTGGTTGCCGTGGGCAACCATCGATGGTAGGTTTAGTTGCTGACAGTATAGTGCTATATCCCTGTATGCTACGTAGCGCGTATCTGTTTGCGAATTCATTTGACGATTGTGCTATTAGTCTAGCTCATGCATTAGCCATTTACAGTCTATTCAGGAATGCATTTTCTCCAGATGACATCAATTTTAGACTATTATTAATGTAAATTGCTCTGTTTTATGCTGCAGAAACCCATTTCTGAATGTAATCAAATGCAGCCTTAGGTGGGATTCGTATATGAAAGTTGCTTTGCTTCTGTTAGAATATCTACTGCGGTGAATATCAATTGCTAGCAGATAATCTTTTGTCATTCAACAGTGCCAAAGACATCTTGACAGCGTTCAAAAGTCATAACTGCCTCAGAGTGACCAAGTACGTAGCGTGGAAGCACTCCCCTGTAGCCAGATCTCTACTATGGTAAGCCGACAGAGTACCTCATTCAAGTTGCTGAAATGCGGTGATGGTGGTGCGCTTACCCACTTAAATTTTGATGGGAAGGAAATAAAAACTTAAAAGCAAACTAATACTGTGAGTCAAGCTGTGGCTTAGAAGGGATTGCCTGCTAGGCAGGTTTCTGATATTACCGCAGTGTGAATGCGAAAGTTATACACATGCGACTTTGACATATAGCACCACATGTAAAACTTGTAACGGGTGAGACAACACATTGTTTACTGCATCTTATCAGATAATTTACTTGTAATAAAGTTCAGCCCCGAGAACCTAATATGATTTCCTTCCTCCGAAAGACGCATCATAATTAGTTTTCACATGCATTATCCCATTTATGTAGGATATTAAATTCTAATGTCTAAGAAAAGAACTTCCTTTGCCAATAAGCGGATTAAAGCAAACTGTAATTAAATTTACGATCTCCCGGAGCTCCCATCATGCTATTGCATAAACGTTTCACGAGTCCGAAATCGCCTCCGGTTTCAGATTTTTTGTGCAGTCTCTGAAGTTTTTTTGTTAGAGTTTGGTAGGCAGTTTGCCGACTTAAGCTGCTCCCGGCATGTAAGTGTCAGAATGTGATCACTGCTGAAGGCTTGTCTGTAAATCTTAGCAAGTCAATGCAGTGATGTCCGCCATGTTGCTTTTTCGCAGTCGCGTCGGCCATATGGCTTTATACCTGTCGTGTCCACCATTTTGCTGTTTCAGTGTTACATCTGCCATTTGCTTTCCCGTTTCCACGCATCCTCCATGATTTGCTTTCTCGCTCTGAAGTCCGCCATCTTGCCTTCTCGCTCTCGTCTCCGCCATCTTGCTTTTTTGCTCTCATCTCTGCCATTTTGCCTTCTCGCTCTCGTCTCCGCCATCTTGCTTTCTTTCTCTCGTCTCCGTCATCTTGCTTTCTCACTCTTGCGTGTCCTCCATGATTTGCTTTCTCGCTCTCGTCTCCGCCATCTTGCCTTCTCGCTCTCGTGTCCGCCATCTTGCTTTCTCACTTTCATCTCCGCCATCTTGCCTTCTCTCTCTCGTCTCCGCCATCTTGCTTTCTCGCTTTCGTCTCCTCCATCTTGCCTTCTTGCTCTCGTCTCCCGCCATCTTGCTTTCTCACTCTCGTCTCCCGCCATCTTGCCCTCTCACTCTCGTCTCCCGCCATCTTGCCCTCTCGCTCTCGTCTCCGCCATCTTGCCTTCTCTCTCTCGTCTCCGCCATCTTGCTTTCTCGCTTTCGTCTCCTCCATCTTGCCTTCTTGCTCTCGTCTCCGCCATCTTGCTTTCTCACTCTCGTCTCCCGCCATCTTGCTTTTCTCGCTCTCGTGTCCGCCATCTTGCTTTCTTGCGCCCACCTTTGCCCTGTTGCTTTCTCGCTCTCGCGTGTCCTCCATGATATAACTTCTTGCATGCAGGACGAGTGCTCTGATGTCGGGTGGCGTCTGCGCTTGGCTGGTGTGGTCGGCATCGAAGAAGGATAGCTAGCGATGCTGCAAGCAAGCGCGCTGCCGTCGCCGCGTGAGGCAGTCTCCTCGCTTACCAGCCGGCCGGCATGTCACTAGCCGCTGGCAGCCATTCAGTGGGCAGCCAGCAAGTGTGCTACAAGCCAGTGGGCACCCAGCAAGTGGGCAGGCAGCTTGTGGGCAGCCAGCAAGTGGGCAGGCACAGTGCAGGTGCGCGTTGCTTGGCAACAATTGTGCGTATCTGCCGTTTCACCGCACGCGGCCGCCCATGATAGAAGCTGTGGCTTTCCTTAAAGTTGCCATCAAGGCCTATTCCAAGCATTAAGCCTAGCGCAGACTTGCGACTTTTTCATGCAACTCAGCTGCGAAATTGCTGTAAAATCACTGTGTTTGCGGGAACGTGCAACTGCAACTCGTAGCGATTCTGGTCGCTTGCAACGAGTTGCAAGAAATCAAACTGGTTTGATTTTCAGCGACTCGTCGCTCCCAATCGCTCCGAAATCGCTTGCACGTGCACACACGGTGAAGCGTGCGACCGATCGCATGCGGTTGCAGGTTGCAGCGACGAGCAACCAAAAGTCGCAAGTCTGCGCTAGGCTTTAGAACAGTGGAGAGCTGACTTTTGACCGATAGATCGGTGTAGTTGTACAGTGTTTGGGGGGCGGGGAGGGGGAGTAGGGGTGCGTTGGTGCTAGGGTGTGTAACACGCTCGCACCTTGTGTAATTAATCTGCAATCATGTTCTGCGCACCGCGGATCTAAAAAATCGGCCAATGTTAATTCGTGTGCTGAGCGAGAAATCGCGCAGTTTGTTTTCACGAGAGAGAGATAGAGAGAAAGAGCGCGAAGCGAGAGAGAGAGAGAGAGAGAGAGAGCGCGAAGCGAGAGAGAGAGAGAGAGAGAGAGAAAGAGAGAGAGAGAGGGAGC